AAATCTTATAAGGCAGATGGTTTTATAAAATTTCCAGATTAGGTCAGTTTGTGTAAATATCATGGGTGTATTTGGAAGCAGATCCAAACCAAAACTCCAAACAATTTAATCATGACTATTTTAGTCACACATAACACTAAACAAACAATTAAGCCTTGAAGCTATAAGAACAGTCCTCCTCTGCAGCTTTGTGTTGCCACAGATAAAAGATTATAAAACTTACTCACTTTTGTGCATAGGAATGTCAGCAGACTTTTAAAAAAATTACTATTAACATATACATATATTTCTTTATTTGTTTATAGTTAGACTTCATTAGAAGCACATCTGTTTAGTGCCAGAAAGTAGTAAAAGAAATGGCTTAAACTACTATTTTCAGATACTGTTTCACAAATTGGCACATGAAGTTGATTATATTATTTTCTTTTTATTGCCAAGTATACTTTAAAGTAACAAACACTAACATATATAAAAAGATGGAAAGAATTACATTGCTGATGGCTATCAGTTAAGTTTGCAAAGCACTAATTTAGTTTTCACTTTTACAAGATCACTAACATTCACTTTTTCCACTTAAATTTTTCAGAACCACTGAAATGAAGAGCTAGAGGTTCTGAAGAATGAGAGGCCAACCACGAACAAATCCTTCCATGTTTAAACAAAGTTTTAGCATACACTCCCATAACAGTAACTCAAAAGCATCCAACACTCAAAAAGTTTATTTGCTGCAGCATGTTTTTCTTAAAGAATTCTGCTAAGTTTAAAATATATTTTCTGTGACATTTGAAATACAAAGTCACAAAGTTGCCAAATGATTAAGTTGGCAGCTGCAGAGTGACACAGACTAGTAGGCACAAAAGTAGAAGCATTAACATATCTTTCTGAATTTAGGGTTTTAAAAAGCCTACTTCCACACGCTGAGCAACATAAAGAGTATTATTGTAGTTTTCTTCCCTCTCTTTATTTTTCTTGCTTTTTTTAAGCATAAGATACAACTTGAGTAAAACACAAAATCTGTACTACTTGCAGTTACGACATTAGGTCAGTTTCAAATCATGAACAAACAAAATGAAACAATATAAATGTGAATTTATTAAAAAGTACTTAACACGGATATATTTAATGAGAAAAACCATACCTTCAGGTTTTAAATTTCTATTTCACATATATCTGAAAGCATGTTTCGTTGTCTGTACAAGCCACTCAATACAGTAAAATATAGTATTCTATCTACAAATCCTGGTTTTGTCTTGCATAGAAAAAATATTTTTCTGTTCCTTTTCCTGACTTGCCCTCCTGAAGAACTGAGGGTCAAATTGCACTTTTTTCAACTCCCTGTTCTGTTCTGGAATCTGTGGAGTTGCTCTAGCTAAAGGAAAAGCCAAAAAGAAGTCTATACAATACTCTCCTTCACAGACTGAAATGGACAGTAAACATAGCTCCAGTATGTTTATTATGATAGCTCTGTCCACTAATGGTTGTTTGAACATTGCAAGGCAGACAGGAAACAAGTCTCTCTACTCTCAGAATTATAAAAAAAGGAACTGAACATGACTGTGCAGCAGATTATCATGACTTTGCCATCCTCTCTCATCAACTACCTCAGACTGATGTCAGAAAACAGAAGATGTCGAGAGAATTCACTCCACATTGTTGGTGGAACCTTTCTGGTGTTATGTAGTTTTCATCAGTTACATAAAACTAATCGCTTGAGTTTTTTGGTTTGGATCTTTTTGTTTTGATTTGCATTCTCCTGCTAAGGCTCTGACCAAAGCTGCTTCAAGGAGGCTTTAAAATTTGCCCTTGCAAAGAACTGTGGTCCACACAAATGGCAGCGATTATCTTTGTTTCCACAAGGAATTAGGGTTTGGGGTTATCTTGCAGGAAATATGTAGCACACTATTGGTTTATGCTCTTAATCTCTAGAGAGTTAAGCAACCAAAGAATGGTTTGTCAAAAAATAGCACAGGAACTTTTTCTTCATTGGAGTTTTTTAAAAAGCACTTTGTAGGTAAAGAAGAGCGCTATGTGCCCTCAATAAGCAAGCAGTGATTTCCCTAAAGCAATAAAAGATACTAATGCTCTTTGAGAACATGGCACCTCTTATTCAAAACTCATTTGCTTACAAAACCAGATCTTCTGAGGGATATCCCACTGAGGTCAGAGTCGCGCTAGAGAAAATCTTGGCCGACAGATCCATGCTGTTCCATGTGGTTTTCATCTTCTGAGTCAGTAACATATCCAACTAAGTTATGTTATGCAACATTTTTACAAAACTTAATGTCCATCCAGAGATGGTAAAATCTAAGGCTGAGAACAGTGACTCAATTTCAGGTCATACAGAGTTAAAAATTTAAAACTTGGTGGGATATTAACTGACAGAACTGAGTTAAGAGGTCTTAATTGCCACATACTGCCAATGTCAAAGATTAGAGGTTAGTCACTATGCAACAATCTTGAGGATAATTAACAGTACATTTCAACATGTCATACAACAAGAGAACATGGCAGATGAGAAAAGGATCAAATGTGGAGCAGACTGCCCCTGCAATAGATACAAATTTGATGAATCCTTTATCTGATTTTAAGCCTTGTACTTTTAACACAATGCTAACTTGCTAAGGATGGGTTACTTGCTATTTTTTTCTTACCATAGATGATCAGTTATCATTCAACTTATTATCATAGATTAATAATTTTTCTTCTAGACACTAACTAGAAATATATTTGAATCCAATCTCCACTTAAAATTATAGAAATGTACACCATGGTCATGTGAAGAACTGTTCTCACCATTTATACAAATCACAATAATTTTGGTCCAGTAAAGGTAAACAAACTAAGAGCACCACTTAAGCAATTTTTTTTTTTTTTTTTAATTTCAATAACTTTATTGCTATGCTTGATTGCAAAATAGAAATCTGCATATAGGTAAATACCCATACTTTGATATGACTGTAATGTGATTTAAGTGTTTTTAAAACAGCTACTCATGACTCTCAAGTGTATCTTTAGAGTTGAAGTACATGGAGATAACCAACCAAAATGAATAATACAACTCTTAAAGGCAAGTTCTCTTACCACATAGGTGGTACTTTAGTAAAGCCTGACAACATTTCACTAAAATGGAGGGCACATTAAAAGTAAAGAGAGGAATCAGCTAATTGGACTAAACAACACTTAACTAACCAGAATTTTGGGAGACGTATACCATTACTTGACACAAAGACATGGTAAAAGCACATCTCACACTAAAGTAACAAACATATAGAATATATTCTAAACATAGCAAGACAGCAACACCACTGCACTAAGTGGAAAACTTATATACTATGTTAAAGAGTTTGTTCAAACTTTGAGACAATGTATGTTAAACAAGAATATTCAGTTACTGAAGAGAAAACCTGAAGATGATGAAGGCATTGTGGTGAGCACCATATGCTTTTAATATGCGGGTGGATTAATACAGGATATAGGCTTCTTCTAAAGTGTTCTTCCTTCCCACTTCACAATGGGTGCTGTAACTTTGGTTGCTGACACACAGAGAAAATAAGTTGCATGGTAAAAACGGTGCTAAAATCACTATGTGGGCAGAACACTTTACAGGCTCCTCCATGAATAACTCATTTCTTTGATTTCTAACTGTAGGAAACTATTTACTTCTTTCTTGACTGAGAGAGCAAAATTTAAGCCTAAACCAACTTTTATTTCAACTGAAAAAAAAAACCCTAGAGAAATTACATGCATGGACATCTAATAATCCCTAACAATTTTCTAATAAATATTAACACTTTTTAAAAGGTGTTTGAAATTCTGGTTGGTGATAAAGACCCAAATTTGTTCACAAAAATTTTCTGAAGCTTGAAAAAGGTTAGTCCAAAACTTTTGGGAGGTAAGAAAAAGGTCATATTGGCTACATGGGATGGGGTTTTTTAGCATAATCTATGTTTGACATCCAGTTTTATGATATTAATAAGAGTTTTATTATCAACACCAAAACAAGCAGATTCAAGATAAATTAGGCAGCTACAAATTTAGACGGAAGTTAGACAGATAGTGGAAAATAAAGTTTTCTCAATAATGCAAAGATACATTTAAAACCTCCAAAATCTGTAAACCAGATGCAGATGCATCCCAAACACAGGTGCACAAAGTTTCTTCTTGGTTTTACAAAACATTGCTGAGTTGAATGGGGCTTCACACAATGTAAACAAAGACGAAAAAAATTCTTTTGTCATAAAAGGAAGAATACAAAGATAACACCAAAATGACAGAGCATGAAAAACACCTGTATCAACCTTTTCAATAATTGCAGCAGATTAATTTTACTTATCTGTCATGAGGTGCTCAAAATGCAATGTAATTTAATGGTGCACTTAACTGAGAAGCTACTCAGCACTATGACTTCTCTTGAAAGTGATATTTGGTGAGTCTTCCTGAGCTCCCTACCTACTGTACCACTCATTAAATAATTACAGCAAAACAAGAATATTATAGAAAATATTTTTTTTTACTTACAACAGAAAACTAATGAAAGCTGTACTGTATCTATATCAGGAAGTGTAGTGATAAGGAAACAGAGGAAAAAAAATTCAAATAGCATTAAAACAAGGCATCATTCCCTGTCCACAGCATGGCAAAATACTTTACTTGTGTTTGACCAACTGTAAACCAAGATATTTCCTATAATTTAACAAAGTTTCTTTCAATTGATTCAGATACAAATGAAGGTAGAGCTAAGGTCATGGGTTTAAGGAGAACAAAGGATCTAGTGTGGAATAGTAAGACTTCTAATTCAGCATGTAGACATCTGACTAAATTTGCACTCAAGACAAGTAAAGACTTGCAAATTACTAATTTAAGTAAATAAGAAATCTCCACATTCAGAACTATTACTTCCAACTTTTTAATTTCCACTGTCAAACTTATTTCAGCCACATCAGATAACTACATGGAATTAAATCATGTTCATCATAAAAAATAGTTTTCTGTTACGTTACCTGTCACTAGCACAGTTACTTGTTGCTGTCCAGTCATGTTGAGGGTTGACTAGGATGCCCCAAGACAGGAACACAGAGGTTGGGGTGAGAGTGCCAACTACCAACTGCAGAGGCTTTTGAGTCTTGTTCCGACCTACATAAGAAACATATATTCCAATTACAAGCTAGTTTCTGTCTCCTGCATTATGTAGGGGAAAGTTTCTGCAGTTTATTAGTAAATGAAGACCTACATCTCTTGTAAACTTGAAGGGAAAGATACAACATTTCTCTCTCTTTTTCACAGTCACTATTTCTAATGTATAATTTTGAAAAGGAGGCAGAGACAGCATCTGTGATCTGTTTGTTGACTTCTCATTGAGGCAAATGAAACACTTGCAAGCCAACTGAGTATCAACACAGGAAAGAAGTGCAGAACAATTTTGGCATAAAGGAAGGGAGGATGCTGCTAGCAAGCAGCAGGAGCACAGATTAGGCTACTGCTTTAGAAAGCAGGTATCAGACACACAAGCCTCAAAAAGACTACTTCTTAGGTCCCCTCTAGACTTCCACAGCATGTATTTCAACCTAGGAAGAAACTGGAAGACTCCACTTCCAGACTTGCAGATCCAGGGTAAACCTAAAGGAATTCTTGCTATTATTTGGTGGGTATGAGGGAGATTGGTTTACTAAACTTTGTTTTGGTTTTGTCTTATAAGTTTTCACTATTTCTCTTTTTTCAGCCCATGTTCCAGTTAAACTTAACTTTTGAAGATGAACAGTGAGTGGTTTGGGTATGCTTAGTATAAGAATATGCAAATTAACTTCAAAGCTCTGGTGACTCTTGGACTGTGTCACTGAAGCTGTTACACAGAGCTCAGAACATTAGGAAGTCTCTCTTTCCATGTGACAGAAATAGTAACTTCTTGGCAGGATTCTCAGTAACGCTGCAATTACGTCCATAGATAATTCTTACTTTCTACAGCATTCTTCATCAAGAATAAAATAAAACCTACAAAAATTCTTTTTAACTGTAGGCAGATCTGAGTCAGCGTCTGTATATGGTGGTGTTTTTCTCTTTTAACCACCTACTACACTGAAAATGTTCAGCTTTTGCATGATACTTAACTTCAGCTTTGCCCTGAATGAAGTAGCACAACTCTCATGTGGAGAGAGAGCTTTCTTTATATAAAGTTTAAAAGCTTATAGTTGGAAATGAAGAAATGATCTAAAGCAACTATTTTGAATCTGTAGTTAGTGGACTGCTACAAGCCCAAGGACAACCTTTGGTGTTTGAAAGATGATTAAAGAATATTCATATATTCTTCAAACCACATTACATATTTCAAAAATCTAAAGGATCTGTACCTCCTCAAAATGTACAGATGACCACAAATTCCCTAAATTTTATAAGCCACTAATCTAAGGGTTATATTTTTCACTGTTATGAAACATCAGACTAGCTTTCTTTTCATGCCTTTTGAAACCTTTTATCTCTTGACTTAACAAGCTTCAGTGAAAGTCTGATTTTTAATTTCAACCAATGCATAAGTGTGCATTTAGAAACGTTAACCACGTGGGGTTTTACTTTATATTGGTGATGGATATGTTGCCACAAAAACACCATGAAGAAACAAAACGACTCTCTACCCTTAAGAGGAAGTATGACATGCTTAAAATAGTGGAACATATGATACTTCCACAGAGACAAACATGTGAATATTTTTTTTTGTTTTCTGGACCAGTTCCTATACTCTTTCTCCATTTTTAAATAAAAATGTAAAACAAACATTCACCAAACTATCTGGCATATCTGCTATTTATAGCAAAAAAACCCTTTCTTGATCGCTTTTTGAGGAAACATGGAAAATACGTGAGTTTTAAGGAAAATAAAAAAGAATCTCTCATACAACTTGAAATCATACTGGTTTTCAGGAGGACACACATATGGTTCTTATTATGCCATTATGGTTCTTATTATGCCATTAGTTCCCAGTTAGAAACTGCAATGATTTACACACTGTAAAACTAGAAATTACATTTGTGATCATCTATGTTGATCTATATGAATACAAACCACACAACTCCCCTGTATTAACTGCAGGTGGAACTACAGTGTCTCTTCTAGAAATGTAACCAATCTTTATTTGTAAATTTCAAATTGCAGCAACTCAGACTCTATAACAATTCTTGGTAATTTGTCCAGTTTAACTATTCTCACTACTAAAAAGACTTGCTGTATATCTAGCTAGCATTAAAACATCAGCTGTTCTTACACGTTTGTCTGCAGGACTGAAAAGTCACTTATCTAAATCGTGTTCCACAAATCAGTTTCTGTAGGCTGCAGATACAAAAATTGATAATGTCCAAATAGTGCATTGGATTTTTTGTTGTTGTTTTGTGGTTTTTGATGGATGTATGTTGCATCTGAAAGGTAAATCACTTTTCAAAATCTTTCCAGACACACTGTTTTGCATCTGGTCAAAAGCAAGAAGAAATTAATCCTAAGGATTTACCAGGAATTTAAAAAAATCATATAAAGATCACAGAATCATAGAATGGTTTGGGTTGGAAGTGACCTTTAAAGGTCATATAGTCCAATCCCCCTGCAATGAGCAGGGACATCTTCAACTAGACCAGGTTGCTCAAAGCCCCGTCCAACCTGGCCTTGAATGTTTCCAGGGAGGGGGCATCAACCACCTCTCTGGGCAACCTGTTGCAGTATCTCACCACCCTCACCATAAAAGATTCTTCCTTATATCTAGTCCGAATCTACCCTCTTTTAGTTTAAAACCACTACCCCCCCCCATCCTATTGCAGCAGACCCTACTGTTTATAGTGTGTATATATATATATATGTTATAGTTTGTCTCAAACTATAAACATATATATATATATATATATATACTATCAGTTCATTCTTTGCAACAGTCCAGTGATCCTGAGCAGTCATGTCCATATTAAGTAAGGAATTAAAAACAGTGTTAATAACATGATTAAAGTCATATAGAAAGTTTTTGGAACAAATGAGGATCAATTTCAGATTTCTGCTCTGCTATGGACAGTGTTAGCTAGAAACATTCCTCTTTCCTTAACTCCTTGCACACCACACACATGCACACTACCATTTTCCAATGAGAAATAAATAATAAGCATGAACATGTCCATAGATGAAGGAATCCTTACCGGTAGTTTGGGAAGAGTAACTTCACTACACCAGATCACTGTATTTCAAAATTTTTACTTTTTTTGCATGCACACCTCTTTAAACATCTGAAACTAGTATTCTAAATTTCAATTCTCATTTCTAAGTACTTTTTACATGAATAATCTTTAGGTGCTTTCTCATGTTTTGAAGACCACATGTGTAACTAATTACTGACTAGGAAATACTGTCAAACATTTTACCTTCCCACATATGGAATTTGTGCATCCCAGACAGACATCTACAGTTACAAATACTTTTTCAGAGAAACCCATTAAAAGATTCTGTCTTCCTTTAATTACTTTAAGAAAAATATGCGGTAAGGGTAAAATACCTGAACAGGATTTCTTGTTATTTGATACACGCGCTGGTCTTACAGAAACCAAATACCGTGGCTCTGCATCTGTAAATGAAGAAAGCAGCTATTAGTACAGACATGCAATTTATTTGAGAAAGAGATTAACCCATAATTAATTAGAAAAAGTCCAATATTCAGTGAATGCCTGACACATTATCCAGTCTTTGTGATCTTTAGGCACGTTTCCTTTAAGGCTTATTTACCAATCACTCAGAAATATTCTAGCCATTAGGAAAAATAATACACCCATGCACAAAAGATTTGGAAATTCATTTTGACTTGGACACAACAAAGAGGTGAACACGGCAGGGCATACATGTAACATTTCAATGCAAATGGTACTTGGAAAGTGAAGGGGAATGAAAATCCAGATGAAGAGGAGATGGCAAAACAGAAAAGAAAAGCAGGTAACGTAAAAAAGTAAAAAGCGCAAAGCCTGAAGAGTACAACCAGAGATAGTTACTCCTGAGCGAAGCTGGAGGATCTTTTCCTACAGTACATTCTGTATTCTGTATCAGGCTATACAGCTTAGTGTTCCTGTAGTAAGCAGTTTCCCAGTAAAGAGCCGACCTACTGCAAAAAGAATAAACAAAATGCATTGATCATTTTGGAGCACATATCCCAATAGACTAAAACTAAATCATTCAAGATTTGCATGATTGTCTGGTTGCAGAAAACAACACAAATGTAAGACATTCTTAAGACAGTCTCCACATTGGTTACTGGGTTGTTTTATAATTAGGTTTACATACTTTTTCCAGAGATTTATTATGAGATTTAACTATTAAGTGCTTTGACAGTTTTGAATACTCTTTATGAAAGTAAAGTTATTACTAACATGTAGGAGCAAGGGACTAATATTTGTGTTAAATCCACAAAGGGCTGTGACTTTGACTGGGAACTGTTACACTAGAAATAATGTTGCATGCAACAGGACAGGAACAGTTTAAGTGATTTTCTTATTCAATAAATTCATCTGAGAGACAAGTTGTATTTTCCAGACTTTCTGACATTTACATTTATTTTACTTTTAACCCAAATGTATTTTTCTCCAGGAAAAGTGAACCTTTGCAAATTTTTTTTTTTTATATCTTTACAGGAAATAATCTCTTTCCATCTTAAACTCCATTTCAAATTTTTTTACATCACTTCCCATAAAAGGTTCAACTGCTTCATTTCAAAAAGCTGACAGAAGAGATCATATTACATAGCAAAAAAAAAAAAAAAAAAAGAGGGGAAAAAAAGAAAAGCCCTTCCAAATACAATTTTTCAATTCAATCATACCCAAATGGCCTAAGTTTCTTTTAAAGTACACAAGCATCGCAGCCATTCTAAAGGGTGCAGAGTCATCACTAGCTGGGTGTCACTTGTCAGTCAGCATGGAAAACTTCTGGAAATACTAGCCTTCATAGGAAATAATGAAATGAAGCAAACTAAGTTTTACACAAACTATTAACACATATCATAGACATCTGATGCAGTTTGGATGACACAAGCACACATGGTAAGAGGCCACAAGTTCAGATACATTCATGTTTCTGGCAGTAAAAGGCAAATAACTTCACCCTGCAGCTTAAAATAATAACCGCTTTGATTAAAACAATGTTGAGATGGTGATTTTAGTTTGGGGAATTCATCTTCAGAAAGATTTTCCCTTAACTCTTGACATCAGATATCAGAGATTTCCACCCTTCTTAATTATTTAAAACCAAGCTCTATTCTGACTGAACTGCAACTCTAGAAAAGAAGACATAGGAGCTGGCAAAAAGATACCCATGGGTAGAATCTGGCTCACCATATATTGATCAAAACTATTTTAACTATGTGGTTTGGTTTGGTTTGTTTTTTTTAATAATTTCTCCAGGCACAATTCTTACTCTAGTTTAGATACATTTATCTAAATCTGTATTTATGGGTGAGAGATTGAATTTCCTGCATATCTCATTTTAACAGATACATTGAAGTCTACAAATTAAACAGAACCACTGAGAAATCATTCTGTTTTCTCTCACATCCAAATTTTTATAAGGAGAGAGGAAGGAAAACCAGTACTGAATAAATCAAAAGCTCCCTGCACGACTTAAAAGGCTGTGCCAGTGTAGAGAAAACCACACTAACTTAACTTCACTGATTCTATGCAACTAAGTCACTGGAAACCCACACTATGGGTGTAATTTAATTGTTTAATTATTGCTTTTTAAATGGGTTTCAACCCCACCCAATATAAACATAACTAAGATGAGTATTTTAAACAGCTGCTTAAAGCAGTGTGAAAAAAAGAATGTTAAAAAGAAAGAGCAACCCTAAAGTGCAAATATAATTTATATGTCTTCATTTACAAAAAATGTTTTTTAATATTTAAGGCTGCACACAGCTCTTCTAGGATCTGTGCAATCCTCTGGACATTTTTTGTTTTGAGACCTAAAACCAGAAATAAGTGACACTTTAAAATAATTTGTTTTCCCTGTACTTTAATTCCAGTTTTGTGCTGTGCATTCACACCTACTTGTGAGATTGTTAAAAACAGTATTGAGCAACCTTAACTTCCAACAGAATTGGCTTCAAGCATCAACTTGAAAGCTCGTGAACTGCAAAGTCAGTCTTCAAAACTGCAAAAATTTATGTTTTCATCAATAAAATGTCCAAAGGTTATGAGATAAAGTTATTTAAATTGTCTGAAACAGCTAGTTTTGCCCTGGTCCATCACTGGAAAAAATAATTCTGGCTGAAGTCTGAAATGACATGAGTAGCAGTGTAGAAATAGATTATCTGTTAAACAAAACGTGGTAATAAAGAAATACTCCAAAAGTCTCCCTGCACATCTGAGAGCTACAAAACCTGGTATTTGTCAGGAATCATTAGTTCTACCAGGAGTTTTAATTCTGCAAGAAAGTGCTCTCAGCAGGAATATTTCATGTTAGGTGCTGTTCATTAAGCTTTTTATCAAATGTTGTCTTAATAAAGAATACCTAACATCCCTAAATCCCAGACAACTCACATCTCTTATGTTTATAATACAATCCATAAAAAGTAGTATTTAGGAACACAGGCTAGGACTAGATGTTGAGAGAGCTCTGCTATAAAACAGCAAGGTTTAAAAAGTACCACTTGTCTGGTGGTACAGAAGCACTGAATTTAAGACAGTATTATGATCATTATAAGTAAAATCAGAATTTGAAATTATCAGAGGATTACATTCAGTATATGGGATACAACACTAAAATTCTGAATTTAACTAAAAATATATCTTAACTTAGAAATATGATTTGGCATTCCTGAACAGAACCATCCAGGTTCCCACATAGGTGTTAGGAGTACAGCAACCATAGTTTGGATGCACAGTATCATAGCATTATGAACAGACTGAAGAATACAAGCCATGAAATGCTTCTATTCGACAGACATACATTCTAGATCTGAGGAAACTGAAACCAAGACAGGTGAATAGCTTGCTTAATCTCATATAATGAGCCCTGATTCAGATTTAGAAATGGGAGTTCTTTCTTAATTTTCGACTGCAATTCAACATTTCTTTTATTAAGTTTAGAAGACCACTGAGTTTTCACACTGATTCAGTCCTCTTGCTGAGAAATGTATGTATCGGTCATCATCACAACACAGAAATCATCTGATGCTACTACACCTCAATTCATTTTCAGGGGCTTAAAACATTGCCTCACCTATTAAATTCTATCAAGTTGCAAGAACTATGATCATCTGTGTTCCTTTATGATGCCTAATCCATTCTGCAGATCTGTGTCTATAAGAAGCAGGAATCTCAGGGAGAAGTGAGTAACATAGGAGGAGAAAAAGAAAATGCTGTGAAATAACTGAAACATAAATAAAACCATAATGTATCTTGTGCTACTGCATCTTAATGCTTAAGGGATAAATTAAATTGCTGAAATAAGAGGTAAGCAGCAGAAAGGCGACCGTCACACCCATAAAAATAAGGAGTTCTGTGTGTCATTATGATTCACAGAATATATCAACCATTTACACTGAAATATATTTAAAGTGAGAAGTGCATTTCTAAAGTAAAACGATGACCTCAAATAAAAGCAAATCAAATTACAGAGTATAGACAATCCTGTTTACAGCTGAGTATTTCTTATTTTTTATGAACTGTGTTTAGTAAGAAAATTATAGTTATATAATTAATGTTTAAATATCTGGGCACGGATCCATGAATCCAGCATCTGCCTCCAGAAATCATGTCAACATATATCAGTATATAACTGAGATACATATGATACAGATGCAAGATACAGATCTGTCTGTCTCAACTTTGTAAGGATTCAGAATCTCATAAACGAAGGATCCCTACAGAACAGTGAAAACTTTAACAAGTTCAGTTTGAAATACATTTGCAAATCTGCTGTGAGAATCGTAGCCCTTCCTTGTTGCTGAAGACGTTCTTGAAGGGCTGCTACTAGAAGACCAGCATAATAAATCCACTTGTTTGAACCTGTTACTGCCTAGCCCCATTTATTATGGCTGAAATGACAAATGTCATGGCTAAAGGCTCCTCTCAACTGGCACATGACTATTTCTTTATAAACCCCTAGAAGCTGCAGGTCAGAAATAAAGTCCAAATAGTGACCGCCTTCAACTCTTTAGCCACAAAGTACTATAGGAAAATGCCCAGATGTACCAGAAGAGTGCTAGCCAACAAATCCATGCCTAATTGTTAGAGTTATAATTCCCCAAACATGGTTTGCTTTGACAATTCAGTTGAGAGCTGTCAATAAGATGCCAGAATTGCTCTTTGAAGTTTAAATATCCACAGCTGATAAAACAATGTCACTTCGGACCAAAGCACAACACTCCTGCAGGCACATACGACTAACCAAATGATTTTTGAAGGAGGAGGGAAGACTAGTCACACACCTGAGGCACCAGTATTTGTAAAGCAATTGTATTTGTATCTATTAGCATTCGATACATACAGCAGACAGATGTACTTGTGTTCAGTACATATTTTTACACCCTTTTCTCCCACTTCTCAAAAATGTTAGACAGAAGCATTCAGTCACCTTGTTTTA